AGCGCTCCCAATAATTGAGGTGTTTTATCTCCGTTATGCGCGCCGTGAAAGTTCTCTGTACATTTTCTAGGTCGGCAATTTCACCTGCCTTGAAAGGTGCTGTTAGTGTGCAGCAATGTGTAGATATGTGTAGATATAATCTCAAGAAAATTCAAGCATCTTATCATTACTAAAAATAATGGTCATTATTATTTTACGATTTCATCAAATAATAGTTTGCTCATCTAGCCGGGGCAAAATGAGGATATAATCTCAGTATGTCAGATATCTTATCATTAACAATTAAGTGAACTGCGTTTCCTATGTAGTTTGTCTGGACGTGTCTCGAAATGATTGAATGTTTGGACATTCTAATATATGTTACACACTACATATCATGAGTGACATAAGAGATAAGATAAGATTTCGTTCGGATTTTTAACCCCGGAGGGTTAGCCACCCAGGATAACCCAAGAAAGTCAGTGCGTCATCGAGGACTGTCTAACTTATTTCCATTGGGGTCCTTAATCTTGTCCCCCAGGATGCGACCCACACACCAGTCGACTAACACCCAGGTACCTATTTGCTGCTAGGTGAACAGGACAATAGGTGTAAGGAAACGTGTCGGAATTTCCACCCGCCGGGAATCGAACCCGGGCCCTCCGTGTGTGAAGCGGGAGCTTTAGCCACCAGACCACCGGACTACCAGAAATACCTGAATGACATCCCCATACAAACTGTACTATCAGAAATACCTGAATGACATATCCATTGAAACTGCACTGCCAGAGATACTTATAACCTGCTGTTAGTCTAGCAATGACACCGTCTTGTCAACTGAGCTTGTTACTTTCTCCATTGACATATTTCATTGTGATGGTCAGTGGATCTGTTAGTTCCTGTCTGTACTCTTTTGCTTTCTTCACATTCGTTTGCAGATTCTTTTTTCCTCTAATGCTTTTTTAATATCGTGTTTGAAAAACTACAATTATATTCGACGTTTTCTTTGTATATTGCTAGTTTAGTCAAGTCATCGACTTCATACTCTCGGAGTCTTATGTGAGAGGAAAAAAGTTAACTCCTACCCTCTTTTAAGTACATAATATGTGTATATCCGTCTGGCTTCATACAAAGCATGGTACATTCAGATCTCAAGCTATTTAGACCAAGTATTGAGGGTAAAGACTTAGAAACAGTTAAACTGCCTGTACTTGCAACTTCTACAAGCTTGAGAATACTTAATATAGCAAACAGCTGAGTTTGTAAGGTGAGCGTCCAGTTGTTATTTTAATACATTTATTTGTTACACACTGTAGTACCATCAGCTGGTTTAAGATAACTGCTTCCACTCGTTCTGGGTTCCAACCTGGATACTACAAACCATACCACGGGCGGGGATAGAACCCGCGATCAGAGAGCCTCAAAACTCTCTGATCGCGGGTTCTATCCCCGCCCGTGGTAGGTTTGTTTGCAATCGTGTCATTACGATTTCGTGAGTCATGGATACTACAATTGTGAGCCAAAGGCAGTATACACAGTGTAAACAAAGAAAGTCCCGTCGAATTTTACAAGATATTTATTAGGATTAACCCTAGACAGATATTAACCCAGGGTAACCAAGAAAGCCAGGCAGCTTGGCTTATTTTAGTTGGGTCCTTACATTCTTCCCCAAAATGCTACCCACAACACTGGACTAACTCTTAGGTACCAATTTACTGCTAGGTGAACAAGGGTAGTTGGTGTAGGAGAGTCGTCCATTCGTTATTATCCCGCCCATGATTGAATAAGGGTCATTTCGACCCATTTGGAGCCGGAACTCAACTCCCGTAAATTCGCTTTATATGCCAGTATAGAAAGTAGAAATGTACAGTATAGTTTTCTTTCAGTTTAGGCTACAAATAAACAGCCAAATACCATTTTCTGTGGTCATCAATTTCTCACAGAAAATTCAGCCTTTAATGACACTTGAGAAAAATGGTTATGTTCGGATTAAAGGGTTAGTAACCCAGGATAACCCAATAAAGTCAGTATGTTATCAGTCTATGTCTTATTTCCATTGGGGGTCCCTTAATCCCCTTCCCAGGATACGTGATATCCTCTGTCTCGGCTCACATACGAGTGGAAACGTTGGGTGTGTTTCCTTACACCTGTTGCCCGCTGTTCACCTAGCAATAAGTAGATACCTAGTTAGTCGACTGTGGGTCACATCTTGGGGCAGAAGATTATTGGACCACAGTGAAAATAAGATGGATGGTCTCCGATGACGATCTTACTGTATTGGGTTAAAAATCCCAAACAAATGATAACTGTGATAAATGGTTTTGAAAATGAGAACTATTAAGAAAAAATACAGGAATGTCGAGATAAGAGCATAATGAATGCAAGAAGATTGTAAGATTTACATGCCATCTTACACGTTCTTTAGACAGAAAAGACTAACTATTCTATCAGAGTGCAAAATGTTTATCAAAATTCCGTTTCACACTCATTACAGAACGATAGTAACTCTGAACGATAGTATCTCTGTAGCCTATGATGTTTCCTTTTGTGTTCTCATTGCCATGGATCCTCCTGCTACAAAGAACCTATCCTAGTCTACCATGCCGATTCCCAAAAGTATTTTGTACATCGTTATCGTGTATCCTCTACATCGACATTCCTTCAGAGTATTGAGGTCAAGTTCATGGTGCTTAGTTTTTGTTTGTCTCGTCGAGTAACAACTATGCGTGAGCGTCTGTAATAGCTTAGGAAAAGTTGCGGGTGACGACCCCTTCGGTCTGTTTTATAAGTATGTCAGCTGCCGTGACCTCCGTTGCATTTGCTTTTATATCTTTGAACTAATTTTGCTTCTTCTGTTTCGTTCTTCTGTTATATTTCCCTTTCTGCAGATCAGAAAATACAGGTAGGTAGCATGTGCTGAATGACTCACACCAGTTCAGTACTAATATAAATATGTAATACTGTTTCATAGGCGGATGTAAAGGGTGTATACCTGGAGAGAGTTCCGGGAGTCAACGCCCCCGCGGCCCGGTCTGTGACCAGGCCTCATGGTGGATCAGGGCCTGATCAACCAGGCTGTTACTGCTGGCTGCACGTGATCCAACGTACGAACCACAACCCGGCTGGTCAGGTACTGACTTTAGGTGCCTGTCCAGCGCCTGCTTGAAGACAGCCAGGGGTCTGTTAGTCATCTCCCTGATATATGCTGGAAGGCAGTTGAACAGTCTTGGGCCCCTGACACTTATTGTGTTGTCTCTTATCGTGCTAGTGGCATCCTTGCATTTCATTGGGGGGATGTTGCACCGTCTGCCGAGTCTTGCTTTCGTAGGGAGCGATTTTCGTGTGCAAGTTTGGTACTAATTGGTGTACTAGTAATAGAAACGAAGAAAGTACAGGGTTGCAGAACAAACTTTTGTAAAGACAGTTTTATCATGACGATAAAGCTTTACGCAGAGGGCAACATGACTTGATAAAGCTCTACACAGTGAAGCACATGACTTAACAAAGCTCATCACTGAGTGAAACATAACTTGATAAAGAGGTGCACAGAGCGAAAGCTGATGAAGCTAAACACAGAAACATGACTTAATAAAGCTCCACCCAGATAGAAACATTACGTGGTAAAGCTGTACAGAGCAAAACATGACTAAGCTCTACACAGAAACACGACATGATTAACCTTCACACAGAAAGATGACATGATTAACCGCTACACAGAAAGATGATATGATTAAGCTCTACACAAAAAGATGACATGATTAAGCTTTACACAAACACGACATGATTAAGCTTCACACAGAAAGATGACATGATTAAGCGCTATATAGATGACATGATTAAACTCTACACAAACACAACATGATTAAGCTCTACACAGAAAGATGACATGATTAAGCTCTACACATAAACATGACAGCTCACGCAAAGCAAAACGTGACTTGATTAAGCTCTACACAGCGCAGTGAAACATGGCTTGATGAAACTTCGTGATACACAGAAACGGCTCGATGAAGCTTGCAGCTATGACTCTCACAATTTGGTAGATATTTTTGCTTCACACATTAAAATTTGTATTTATCTATCGGTTTTGCTGACTGTCCAGCGTTTGTTTCACTCACACACTCTTTTTATCAGCTTCCCTGCAGAGCGGCCATGCAGCAGAGAGGATGGCAGGGTCCCATGCAGCGAGTGGGTGGTAGGGGGCCATGTACTAGCGAAGGGGGGTGGCAGGGCAGCTATGCAGCAGCTAAAGGGGGTGACAGGGTAGCCATACAGCAGCGAGTGGGTGGCAGGCGGCCATGTAGTAGCGAGTGGGTGGCAGGGCGGCCATGCATAAGCGTGTGGTAGCAGAGTAGCCATGCGGAAGAGTGGGTGGCAGGGCGGCCGTGCAGCAGCGAGTGGATGACAGGGTAGCCATGCAGCAGCGAGTGGGGTGGCAGGGCGGCCGTGCGATGAGTGGGTGGCAGGGCGGCCGTGCGATGAGTGGGTGGCAGGGCGGCTATGCAGCAGCGTGTGGTAGCAGGGTAGCTATGCAGAAGTGGGTGGCAGGTCGGCCATGCAGCAATCAAGAGGGCGGCAGAATAACCATGCAGTAGAGAGTGGGTGCCAGGGCATGGTGCATCATGACCCTGCCAGTCATGATGCACCAGCGAAGGGGTGGGCAAGGTAGCCATACAACAGCGAGTGGGTGGCAGGGCGGCCATGCACCAGCGATTGGATGGCAGGGCGGCCATGCATCAGCGAAGGGAGTGGCAGGGCGGCCGTGCAGCAGCGAGTGGGTGGCAGGGTGGCCGTGCAGCAGCGAGTGGGTGGCAGGGCGGCCGTGCAACAGCGAGTGGGTGGCAGGGCGGCCGTGCAGCAGCGAGTGGTGGGCAGCCGTGCAGCAGCGAGTGGGTGGCAGGGCGGCCGTGCAGCAGCGAGTGGGTGGCAGGGCGGCCGTGCAGCAGCGAGTGGGTGGCAGGGCGGCCGTGCAGCAGCGAGTGGGTGGCAGGGCGGCCGTGCAGCAGCGAGTGGGTGGCAGGGCGGCCGTGCAGCAGCGAGTGGGTGGCAGGGCGGCCGTGCAGCAGCGAGTGGGTGGCAGGGCGGCCATATAGCAGCGACAGGTGGCAGGACGGCCGTGCACCAGCGTGTGGTGGCAGGGCACCAGGCAGCGGTCATGGTCAGTGTCACACCAACAGTGGCAGAGGGCAGAAGTACAGGTGCTGCAGCAGCGTTGATATCTTAGTGTTCACTGTTCAACTGCAGACGACCAGCTTCATACCAGGGGGTCTGTGTTCAAGGTCTGCTCTTCACTTTTTATGAGTAGTTGTGAGTTTTCTGTTCACCTTGGGTATATACATCTACAAGTGTATATCTCATCACACCTAGATGTGTATAAATCATTGTACATACACCTAGATGTGTATAAATCATTGTACATACACCTAAATGTGTATAAATCATTGTACATACACCTAGATGTGTATAAATCATTGTACATACACCTAGATGTGTATAAATCATTGTACATACACCTAGATGTGTATAAATCATTGTACATACACTTAGATGTGTATAAATCATTGTACATACACCTAGATGTATATAAATCTTGTACATACACTAGTGTTATAAATCATTGTACATACACCTAGATGTGTATAAATCATTGTACATACACCTAGATGTGTATAAATCATTGTACATACACCTAGATGTGTATAAATCATTGTATATACACCTATATGTGTATAAATCATTGTACATACACCTAGATATGTATATCCGTTTATATACACCCAGAAGATATCTGCATATACACCTAGGAGTATATATTTGCATATACACGTAAAGTGTATATTTCACTGTACATGGACCTAAAAGTATATATTACTCAGTGTATATGCATTGATAATTTGCATTAAACCAAACAAGTTTACTAACCACTGTTCCGGGTTCTGAACTGTATGAGCAAATGTTAGATAAGAATTGAATAAGTAAGTAAGTAAGTTTATTCAGATATACACAAATACAGTTACACAGAATTATCATACATAGCAGCATATGTGTAGAGAACCTAGGATAACCCAAAAAAGTCAGACAGTGACTTATTTCCATTGGGTCCAATTGAAACGCTTTTAAGAAAAGTCCTTCTCCATGGGTTTAATCACTAAACAGGTATTAAGTTTAGAAATATGAGTTTGTAAAACTTTTTTTATTCGTATTTGCAGTATAATACCGTTAAATTATGCTTAGTTTACCACACTACCGAAGAAAGGGTTATTATTATTATTATTATATAAAAAAGAAGCGCTAAACCACCGAAGAAAGGGTAATCGACTTCATTGGAATGAAATGGAGTTTTTAATAGAAAACATTGTTATGTCCGAGTAACAAATATATTTATCTAAATCAAGATTATCAAGCCCTATTAGTAAATAATTATTTGAAGTCACGTTTATTCTTCAGCTCCTCAAAATGGTCTACATGCAGTTGGTGTCTCTGGGTACAGTAACCAAATTATTATAATCATGGGGAAGCGCTAAACCCTTAGGATTATACAGGGCCTGTGGGGGGATGGGGACGGAAGGTATTCAGGCTTAACCATAACGCGTGTATTATATGTAGTGACAATTTGTATATACAGACAGCTTTAATAAAGATTATAATTTTATTTTTAAAAGAGTTAATATTTAACGAAAGGAGTTGTATTAACAGCGACCACTTGACAATATTGTAACCTATATTTCGTTATTTTTTCCAGATAAACGTAAGTTCTTCAAGAAAAACCTGCTTAAACAATCCCAACGTATTTTGCTACATTTGTGGTGAATACTTTTCGTAAAAACAAAAAACTATAACAGATCTTGTGAAACCAAATTTAACTTGCTTATTTTGGAGTGGCGTTTGCAGAACAATGCAAGTCTTGGGCTCCCTCATATTGTTCGCAAAACCTGTGTAGAATATTTACGACAGTGGAAAAATAGGCAAAGGAAAAGTTTAAACTTCGGCGTGCTTATGGTGTAGAGCCAAAAAAACAATCACGACGACTGTTATTTTTGTATGGTGAATGTGAAAGGTTTCAATTGATATAAGAAAGTGGGAATATCCTGTTTTGGAGTCAGCAAGGAGACCTGTGCCACACAGCAAAGACGTCCTCATACCAGTGTTTTCAACACTGACCTTACATTGTCAGATGCTGAAGAAACTCATGCTTTAGGATGTAACACAGGTGATAGCAGTGGAAGTGAATATGAAGTAAGCATTTCAACACTCCAGCAGTTCTCCTAAGAAGAACTCAATGATCTGACATGTGATTTCAGTCTGTCAAAGAAAGCGTCTGAACTTTTAGCATCCAGACTAAAAGAAAAGAACTCTAGAAGAAGGTAAAATAATAGCCTATCAGACAAGAGAGGTTGAAGTCCTTCCTTGCTGCAATAATATTCCTGGATTTCTTCGAATGGGACTTGAATGTCTACCAGGAGATTGGCGGCTGTTTATAGACATCTCCATTAGAATCTTGAAATGTGTCTTATTGCACAATGGTAACCAATATGCATCTCTTCCAGTTGCTCACTCAACAAAACGGGGCTGATGACCACCACAGAAGAAAATCGTACAAACAACATTTTCACATGCAGTAATTAGTAGTATCTGAATTATCTTACTATGTTAATCTGTTTTTACACAGAATGGAGTGCTAGTATGTATTATATGATTTGACTATTGCATGATCTAAAAAATAATTTCAGTGCGATTTGTGCGTAAGTTAGCCCCGCCTGATCAATATATTTTTACATCTATTATGTTTTTTTTTTTCAGTGGGATACCAAACTTATAAAAAAATTAAAGCCAATTAAGCAAAACCAATGGTATTCGGAATCAGCACCACAGCTTACCTTAAAAATAACATCACTGGCCAGAAAAATGAGTGTTGACCAGTGATTTATTAAATGGGAATGATTTATGCATAATACGATTAACGTAAGTTTTAAGATTTACATTTAGCATTGTATAAAAATATTCCAGTGAATAGTTCATCAAAAAAAAAAATCCGAATAAGTTTTCAAAAACAGCCATCATATAAATTATAAGCAGCGGATAAAAGTATTCACAGTGTATATGTATCAAGAGGTGGACATCATTGTAGTATATACACTGGGTTTAATCCATATTAGTTAGTTACTGTTTGTTAAGGACACTTACCGATAAATGCCTGGTGTAGGTGGTTTGTGTATGTGTATAATGTTTGTCAGGAAACAGGAACTTTCCTGACGCGGTTGTGTCTTATATTCGATATTAAAGTATTTCTTGATAGTGTACAAGTGAACTGCGTGCCTTAGATTAAAAAAATGGCATAAGTAATTTACATTTAAATCTAAACAATTAAAAAAATTTTAAGATATAAACAATTTTATTAAATCGCGTTTATTTAATGCGATTTACTGTTACTGTGCCCCTCAAGGTAGGTTCCTTGACGCTGGTGAGGGGCTCTTGATCTAGGGAATTAGATTTGTGTCCCAGTTCCCTGAATTAAGTTCCCTGTTAATTGAGGGTAGGTATGCAATATCCCAAACTAGAGGCCAATTTGAAAAACCTGACATTTTCGAATTCTGCAACCCCAAAATACCTTCAAATATCTTTGGCAACAATTTTTTTTTGGTTGACCAGTGAAATTTGACATGCAATCAATAAGCTTTAAAACAAACAAAAACAACTACAAATATTTGTTTCCTACCTTTAATTGAAAATCTGTGAATAATAGAGTAATGTTGAAAGTGGGAATTAAGTAGCATATAAGCCCCGGAATGACTTCCACACACAGCTTATAGTATTAACGTTCAGTACATACCACCAGAGACTACAGGTGTGGTGCACTTCACTATATTTATTTCCCTGTTCTTATTATCTTATTGGGTTTAAATACTTCTTTCTTTTATTTTTCTTATTACATTTAGGAGAAGCGCTAAACCCATAGGAGTCATACGCCTAGTGAATAAGAAACAACTAGGTTCGCTCCCAGGTTGGGAAGGACAGATTTAGTTGCTTGGATCAAAAGCCCTTCACTAGCATCAGGGAACCTATCTTGAGGGTTATTCTTAAAGCTTTTTGACTATGCGAGGCTGCATTGTTACCCGTACACCAATGCGAAAATCTAAAAATTCAATTTTTAAAATTATTAATTTCACATGTGCGAGTTTGACTCTGCCATACCATTCTAATTTCAACTAAGTAAATAAATTTATTTAAGCACAGGTACACGTAAATACAATTATCATACATAGTGTAAATGAACTAGGATAACCCCAAAAAAAGCCAGACTGATTTGTTTTCATTGGGTAGATAAAATCAGAAATACCTAGTCTGTAGTTAATCCTCAAGAGGTAGTTTTGATATTATGTGCCTTATGCGTTATGTGCCTTATCCACGACCACAATTCATGAAGGAGATAATGTGAAGGAATGTGCAGTAAATCGTGTGCGAGGGCGGCCTAGGTACTGACGCAGTGGGTTGCCCACCCCCAGGTTACAGTACCGTTGTTACCGCTCAGACTTTCACGTCCTACAGCCAAAACTGACCTCACTCTCTTTTACCCACATCCCATCTTTTGTCTATATCCCACGTAGTCAGTGAAGACAGGTGTTACTTTATGATTAAGTTCAGGAATCAACACATGCGTTGCAATGTGCTAATTCCCAGTGTAAGTAGCACAGTGCTGAGTCTAGAGCACTAAACTCGGCACGTGCAGTGTAGTGTTCTACTTTTCTTATGCGAGTTACGTCCCAAGGTCCATGGGCTACGCACACACACACACAACACACACGGGTCCAGGAGCTGTGACTCGACCCTGCAACCACAGCTAGGTGAGTACACACACACTCACTGTCTCAGGTACTTAGTTTTTTCTTGAAGTGCGCTTACTCTTCTCTGAGAATGAAGTTTCCCCAATTAGCACTAGAGATGATACTACCCACTTACTTGCATCCATGAACTATATAGTAATGTCGAAATAAGAACGGAAATTTTAGTAATACTTCCGTGAATCAAATTGTTCCGAGAGTTCCAAGCCACAAGGTAAGAAGCAGTGCCACGGATAAGCTGTGGATTGGGGTCGTGATGTTCCACAACCCAGGTGAAACTTAGTGGCTCTCTAGTTCTTTCTTATACCTGCTCCTTGATTAGTGACTTGTGGGCTAGAAACTCAGCGGACTCTCCAAGTCAAGTCCATGTGCTTTAAATATATATTCTTAATTTTCTAGTTATTGTGAATGTGAAAATACATAATTATAACCATACTAGTGTAATTTATATTAAAGACACTAAACCCTCATGGGTCTTTCAGTGATGAGTAATTAGATACTATAGATGCCAGTGTCAGACAAAATGCTGATTGGAGTCGTGATTTTGTATAGCCCAAGTGGAACTAATTGCTTTTATTCTTTATACAGTTAAATTTGACTCGTGAAATCGTAATGACACGATTGCAAACAAACCATACCATGGGCGGGAATTCATCTGTAAAAATTTACATTTGTGGTCACAGTGGGGCCTGTGCTAATCTCTTTATGCTATATAAATATACCTAGTTTGATGAATATTTTTCTAGCCAGCTGACCCAGTGGCTTATGCGCTGGCCTGGAGTTTTACGACTCACTCGCCACGAGTTCAAGCCCCACCCTTGGTATGGTTCAGTTAAATTTATAAGTTGATATATTATCGTCCCTCAGTGCACTATGGGGCCCCATCCTTTCCAAAGTATATTACCATCCCCATGCTACAGCCTATGTCAATTGACTAACACCCAAATAATGTACCCATTTATTGCTGGATAAAAAGGGCAAGAGTGTAAAACCTGTCCATGTCTTTCCATGCCTGGGAATTTAACTCAGGCCACTTCAGTTGTGAACTGATTATTAGGTATCCCAAAAGGGGTTTCCTGAACTGATTATTAGGTATCTCAAAAGGGGTTTCCTCCAGATTTTTCTTTAATAATTTGAATATACCTCATGCAACTATTGGCTTGTGCATGTGCCATAGGGTCAATGGTATATAGATATTCCAGGTTTTGGTTTCTTTGTGATAACTTGATTATTGTTATTATTATTATAATAAAAAATTAAACAGTAAACCCACAAGGGTCATATGGCGCTGCTGTGATAACTTGAGAAAACTGCTTCAGATCAACTTCAGAATTCCAACATTCGTGTATCCTACTCAGAAGGTTGGGATTTTTTTGAGTGTGTAGGTGCAAATTTGTCACTTTTATTTTTAAAATGGTGTACTATTTTTGGTCCATGAAATACTTTGAATATGCCGCTTATCAGTGGTTTCGGTCTTTAATGGATGATGCATCATATACTATACTATGTCAGACACAGCAACACCAGAGAGAATTTCTTCTACAACTCCATTGCCAAATATTTAGCTCACCTTATAGGCAGGATCTACTTCTACAAGTGGGCCCCGCCCACATGTGACCAAGTTTTTAACAGCTGCTTTTTGCTGCTTCTTCCACTGGCCTCAGTATTAAAGTCTCTTACCTCGTGCTTCTACAGTGGAACCTCGGTTGTCAAATTTAATTCATTCCAGATGTTGTTTTGACAACCGAAAGAGACAACAAGCAAAACAATTTTTCCCACAAAAAATAATGTAATAGAATTAATCCATTCCAGACCCCAAATGACAATATAATAATTTATTAAAAATGTACTACTACATAAAACTAAAAATGAATACTAAAAGAAACTTTAACTGAAATACTGCACAGTAAATGAAATTTTAACTGCCTCTTACCTGTCAGATTAGAGCTAATGGCATACTGGAAGCAGGAGGTGGAGAGGAGGGGATATGTTACTGCTTGGAAGGAGAGTCACTTTGTATTACTGTCAGGCAACTATCCTTCTGGTGTTGTTTCTCAACTTTGTCTTTTTTCACTACTAACACCTTGTTCTGGCTCAGTGGTTCTTTGTCTCACAAAAACCTGTCAAGTGAGGTTTCTTTCAGGCTCCGTTTTTAACACTTGTCTAAATTGAGACATTACACTGTCATTGTACGTGTTAGAGAGACGGATGGCCACTGTAAACTCCTGCACTTCACGCCATTTAGCACACATGTCCTTGACAAGTGCAATGGGCACATCATCCCTTCCCTCTTCTTCCTTTAATGACAGCTCCTCCACTGCAGTCTGTTGTTGCTCCTTCTGAAAGTCTATAAGTTCTTCTGTGGTGAGTCAGTTCTGTGCTCCTCCACATCATCTTCAGTCACCTCTAGGCCCAAGGTCTTCCCCAAAGACACAATATCCTCTACTGGCTCAGGCACATCTTCAAAACCTTCAAAATCTCTGGATGCCACAAAGTCAGGCCAAAATTTCTTCCATGCTGACTGCATGGTTCTGGAAGACACATTTCCCCAGGCTTTGTCTATAAGCCTCAAGCAGGTGAGGATATTGAAATGACCCCTCCAGAACTCCCAGAGGGTTAAATTTGTTTCTGGAGTGATTTCAAAGCACCTTTCAAAAAGTGCTTTGGTGTAGAGTTTCTTGAAGTTAGAAATGACCTGCTGGTCCATGGGCTGGATGAGAGTAGTAGTGTTAGGAGGGAAGAACTTCACAGTTATAAAACTGAACTCCTCCAGCAATTTGCTTGGATGGTGAGCAGGAGCATTATCCATAAGTAAAAGAGCCCTGAGTGGCAGTTGATTTTTAATGAGGTACTTTTTGACAGTGAGAGCAAAGACCTCATGAACCCACTCAATAAAAATTGTCTTGTTACCCACGCTTTCATGTTGGCCCTCCACATAACAGCCAAGTAGTTTTTCATAATATTGTTCTTCTTAAAAATTCATGGATTTTCAGAATGATAAACAAGTAAGGGCTTCAATTTCAAGTCCCTAATTGCATTACTACACAGTAATAGAACGAGCCTGTCTTTCACTGGCTTCTTTCCTGGCATTGGCATTTCCTCTTCAGTTATGTAGGTCCTCTTGGGCATTTTCTTCCAGAAGAGGCCTGTCTCGTCACAATTGAACACTCGTTGGGGGACAAACCCCTCAGCCTCTACATACTCTTGGAATTCAGTAGCATACTTTTCAACAGCCACTTTGTCATCACTGGCAGCCTGCCCGTGCCTAGCCACACTACGAATGCCACTTCTTTTCTTAAAATTATCACACCAACCCCTACTAGCCTTGAAGGACTGAGTTTCAGTTCTTGTTCCATTTTTTCTTTAGGAGATCATCATGCAACTGCCTTGCTGTTTTCACAAATAATGGCCTCTGAAACACTATCACTCACTGTCTAGTGTGCATTCTGTGAGCACATGACCTGAGCCGTTCACGTTGTTAGTCGACAACCAAGAGGACATACGAAAGCAAGGACATTTTTTCTCGAATTCCTCATTCGAAAACTGATTTAATCGACAAGTAATACAATCAACAACCGAGGTTCCAGTGTATATGAGATTGAGAAAGCCAGTTGGGTGTGCAAAAATGTAACTTAATCATCAATTTGTCAGTCTTATACCTTTGATCTGAGGAATCTTCAGTCTTAAATAAAATTATTAATAATCATCACTAAACACATTTAGTGCTATTAGTGTAATGTTATTGATTTTATAAACCTCAAAATGTTAGCACCAAGATGAGGTATTTAATAATATATAATAGTATAGTACCGAGTATGCATACCCCATTATATTGACTGGTGAGTTATAAACCCATAGGAGTTGTATAGCTATACATACCCCAAATGGGGAGCCTGTAGCTGGTCCAGATTACTTTTTCGAAGATTTAGGTTTATATTTTATATAATAATATTTTATATAATAAAAATAGATTATTTAGGTACCTGCATAGAAAGTATATTTTCTGAGCAACTAGTATTATTAGTATTATACAATTTTGTTTTACTAAAATCAGTGTGGAATGAGAGGTTATCAAATCTGATAAAAAACCAAAGTATAGTTCAGAGGCAGGTCACATAACTTGGATCAGAAAACACAATGGAAATCTGTGGTAGGAACCAGAGACTTTAGGGCAAGTGCCATAATAGCATCAAATTTCCATCAGCCTTGCGAGATGTTGAAATTGTCATGATGCATGTGTAGGTGGTTTAAAGATTTTCCACATGTACATATAGTCCAGTGACTCACAAAATCGTAATGACACGGTTGCAAACAACCCATACCATGAGCGGGGATAGAACCCACGATCAGAGAGTCTCAAAACTCCAGATCGTCACGTTAGCCACTGGACCAGCTAGCCACAATAAGATTTGTCTGACTAGGTATTTTTCTACACCATAGGAAGGTTAGCATAGGCACCACTGTGGCCACAAATGCAAGTTTTTACAGACGAATCTCCAGCTAGCATGGCCATGACGAACTCTAGCTCAAGTCCCCTCAAAGCCATCAACATGACTCACGAAATCGTAATGACGCAATTGCAAACAAACCATACCATGGGCGGGGATAGAACCCGCGATCAGAGAGTCTCAAAACTCCAGACCGTCGCGTGGCTAGCTGATCCAGTGGCTAACACGACGGTCTGGAGTTTGAGACTCTCTGATCACAGGTTCTATCCCCGCCTGTGGTATGGTTTATAGTCCAATGTTATTGATATATATAAAGGAAGAAGATTCCCAATTAATATTATGTTTAAGATTCCTATTATGCTGTTTGTCTGATCTTAAATGCTCATTAGGTCAAATAGTTAAATTTCTACCTGCTTGCTTTATGACTGTTTACAGGTACGTACATCATATATTTGACTGTATATTGAAATAAGTAATCATTCTTAAGTATAAATTTCTGTTATGAATTGCACATTAATAATTTTTTTGCCATTGCAGAGAGGTCATGATGTGTGGTGGGTGTTTGTGGGTGCTGAGTGTGGCACTAATATTCAGGTGGTTAGCACATGGTGCTGTCCCTCCACCCATACGTCCCTCCCCCAACACCAACTACAAGAAGCAAGGTAGCAAGAGTCATGCAGACCAGGTGAACACACTGGCCAGTGTATCTGCAAGTATGATAAATTACTTTAACTGAAGACAGTACAGGCATTCTGGCCAGGAAATTATGCTTTGACATTCAAAGGAACATAAACTTTCAGATGCTGGAGCAGTTGCTGACTCAGGAGGAAGTCCATAGACTGATGGAGGGTTCTTTCTACCCATCATATGTGAACCATGGTAATGCAGTGCACATCCAGGGCCAGTCCCTCCCTTTGGCATCATCTACTGCACCACCCAGTCACTCAGACAACCAGCAGTACACCAGCTCACTTAATCCTCATTACCTGCACTCTTCACTATACCAACAACCTTCACCATCAAATATTTATTCATTAGGACTGCACAGGCAACCAAGTGATAATGCTAATTTATCAAGAATTAATTCCAAACTGATGACAGATGTGGCCTTGGCTCTCCTAAGTGCTCAAAATGCATCACATACAGAAAATTCTGAGACAGGACAAACTTCAAATCAACACCCAGATTCTCAATACCATCACGGTATGCACAGTCACTCTCATTCTCATCTACAGAGGAAAACGAGTCAGAGTACACAAAAGCAAAGTGATCACCATTCTGAACTGAACCAAAAAGGACAGCTTTCAGCTCCACAAACAGGTGAGGTGATGTCACATGGGCAGTCATCAGCTTCATACAATGATGGAGACATTGCATTCAACACCATCAGAAAACCAATATCTACTGTTCCTATAGGAAATACTGTAAATATACACATGCCTGATAGTTCCAACAGCCTACACCAAAAAAAGAAAGCTGATATGGCTGATATCTTGACCAACCTCCAGATTCTCACCATCCTAATGAATCAAGAACATCTGCAACAACCATCTCCATTGCCCCATTTTCAAATAACAACTGTTGGTACTGTCAACAGTGGAAACAATCTCATGAAGCCATCAGATAATGTGCCAACACAAATTCCTTCCCAGTATCAAGATCTGCCCTTGCAGGAGGAGAAGAAACAGGAGCATCACAAAGTGGGCTCTGTATTACCTCCTGGAGTTGTACCCACACCTTTGCACCAGGCTGGCATATACCAGATACAAGCACGACACAATGGGCAAGAGCCAGAGCCAAAGAATTACTACACTTATGCAAGTCAATTCCCCTTCATCGTTAACACCTCTGAGGAGACATCCTCAGTAACCTCACTACACAAATCAAGTATTAATCTCGTGAACTCTGAGGGTGACAATTCATCAGGCCCTGACTTTAATCCCAAACCAGTGATGCCTTTCAAGACACCACCTGTCAGTATCCCAAGGTTCACCACAGAGAGAGCACCCAATTTTCACCTCAGCAATTCGTTTAATCCATCAGCCTCTGGTAATGATTTGCCATATTACCAGATAACAAAACCTTTGTTTTATGATGAAAAATTTGTACACCAAGACACAGCAACTGCTCTACCAACAAACTATGAAAATGCTGACATTGACAAATTGATTCACCAGTTCTCTCACCAGGTCATCTCACACACTCGCACTGCTCCTGTTCCAGACCCTGGAAAACCTCAGACAGAGCAAGGCCTAAACACAATACTCAAACAGCTTGAGAATCTTAGTAAATCCCTTGAAATGTTGAAAAGGAAATACTTAAATGAAAAACTTTCTAGTTCACCATATCCAATTTTGCAAAATGATCCAGTCAACAATTTTAGCAGTGAGGACCTCTTTCTTGCCAGTCTGTTACAGTCTCAGATGTTACAGCAGTCTACACCACAACAGGCAAGCATCATCAGCACAGACAAGCCCTACATCCCAGCTATCCACAGTGAAACATTCATTCAGATGGATGACCCAATGCCCCCTGCACCACCACCAGTGGAAGCTGACCTTAGCTCCCTGCCACAAGCTGACTCTGGGGGTGGTGGTGGTGGTGGTGGTGGTGGTGGTGGTGGTGGTGGTGGTGGTGGTGGTGGTGGTGGTGGGGGTAGTAGTGGACTTGAGGACTGCATGAAGAGCAAATTGTGCTCCATTTTCATTGCCTGTCTAGTGGCAACTGGGACCACTGCAGCCTTTACTATACCTCTCCTTACACCACTCTTCACTGTCCTTGGAAAGCGACGAAGAAGAAATACCTCTTCTTCAATTATGATTCCTCAAAACTCTGTGAAAATCATAGAGTCCTTTCTTGGTGAGCAGCCAGAGGAAGGCTTTACTGATGACTTGAAACATGTTTACAGCTCATTTATGACCCCTGAGAATGAGAACAGTAAAATAATTATGGATAATATCTTGAACTACTTTATCCATAACAAAGAATATCTGCTAAAGGCTGCATCATGCAAAATTGAAAGCCTCTCTCTCAAGCATATACCAAAAGAATTCCTGGATAAGGTAAAGAGAAGTGACTCACACAAGTTATTGGTATCACTAAAGAAAATTTTGGCAATGCAAGATGAGACAGTTACCAAGATAACACCTGATCAAATAGACACTGTAATGGGAAGTCATCATAGTGTTGTACAGCAGACCATACTGAGTGGCAATACCACTCATATAAAAGATGAATTAGCAATAAAGAATTCCACAAGAGTGGTCACATTGGTACCAAATTTAAACATTATGCTGAAAAGCTGCACTAAAAAGCACTTTCATCGCCCAAACCCAATAAACAGGACAACTCATGGTGAAGTTAAAAAATTAATTAATCCACTTGACATTCTTCCTGTTAAGTATGATGAAGTCCCAGGAATAGACAGTGCCCACCAACAGAATAGCTTTTCATTTTTAACTCAACAGAGAAGAGACAGCAACTCTTCAATGAAGGAACAGAATACACCAATTCAACCTGGTAAAAGTGGCATAAGAAGTGAACAATATCTTTCAGAGAGTGATGATGTGATTTTTCAAGAAATATTGCCAATGACACGAAACCCTACTGGCCAGCTGCCAGTAGTAAGCAGTACTCCAGATCACTCACCAAATCTTGGCAATCGCAGAACTCCAAAAGTCACCAGATATTCTACAAAAAATGTTGCTTCAGTTGAATCTGAGTCAGAGTCCCTAATAAGATCCTCTGTTATGTTTGAGGAATCAGAGCAGCATTTATCTTCACACTCAACCCCTAACACACCCAGTAATCAAAATCAAAGCATTTATCTTCAGCCACCTGGAAATCTGCCAGGAAGAAACCAAAAAGTGCCACCACCTTCTGGTGCTGCTAAAGCCCCTGGCAGCTTCAGCAAACTAGTGGACTTCTACAAATTAGTATGCAGAACTCTCACTGAGCCAGACATTCCTAAAACAGAAATCATCAACTTCATAGCTCAAAGGTGCATTTTAATGGCTTATGCAGGCTTACTCAGCTGAGTAAATAAAATAACATGAAAACAGTAAAAGCACAGATTAAGTATTAATTTTAAGATAAAAACAAAATACTACTATTAATGAATGAAAAACTGCCATTAAATTAAACAACTTAACCCTTAAACTGTCCAAACATAGATCTATGTTTTTTCAACATTTTGAAAGTATGTAAAAAAAGTAATTTTTTTTTTTTTTTTACATTTGAAAACGTGTAAAAAAACTTTGATCTGTTTTTTTTTGTTATATTTGAAAATATGTAAAAAAAAAGTAGATCTACTTTTGGAGCACTACACATGTGAACATAGATCAGCTTAGACAGTTTAAGGGTTAAATTCTGCAGTAATATATAAAAGTTGTGCTTTTTTGCCATGATTTATCTATGACTGCATAAGTGATTTTTTATTATAATAATATCTAGAGGACAGTTTGCTTCTATGACTGCCCTCAAGGGAAGTTCCTTGATGCTGCTGAGGGGCTTTTGATCCAAGGAAGTAGACCTGAGCTGCTCTTCCTTCAAATGAACCTAACTGCTTCACATTCCCTGAGGTACTCTGTATATATGTATGTATGGACATACAGCAGGGATGTGTAAGCATGTTACATAGGAGTGAGTGGAGACAAGTGATTTTTGGGATTTGATGAGCTGTTGGAGTGTGAGCAGGTCAGTATTTTATGAAGGGATTCAGGGAAACCGGTTAGCTCGACTTGAGTCCTGAAGGTGGGAAGTACAGTCTGTGCACTTTAAGAGAGGTGTTTGGGACATTTGCTGTTTAGAGTTACATCTAAACTGTTGTATATCTGTGCCTCTGCAAAGATATTGACAGTGTGAATGATGATGAAAGTGTTTCTTTTTTTTTTTTTCCTTTTTGGTCACTCTGCCTCGGGTAGATACAGCTGGTTTGTTAAAAAAAAAAAATACACAGCTTTTCCTCACTTAACGTCAGAGTTCCTTTCCTAAGACTACGTTGGTAAACGAATTCATCGCTAAGCAAGGAGCACACTTTAATGGTAGTGGGTTTGTTTCAACCATCTTTGACATTGTCTTAATGTCACCTTTCCACCATTTATAACATTTTTAGTATATTTTTAAATGACTATACAGTAGTGCACTGTATATTGTAATAAACAGAATAAAGGAAATCAGCTCTAATATACAGTTGCTGTCTACCAACTTACTACAGGTTGGCCATCACTAATCCTGGTTCTATCAGTAATCTGGCACTAATTTTGGGTAGCATAATTTCAAATTTCTGGGGTGGCTACACCAACCTGCCACTACTGTTTGGTGGCACTACTTGCTGCATAAGTCATTCCAACTTCTATTTTTCCATTTATTGTTATAAGCTGCTCACTTTTAGCCCTAGCCATTGTTCCAACGAAAAAAAGAAATGTTTCTCATTGTGTACAGCACATACACCATACATCGTCCATAAAAGATAAGGTGGCTTTGAAGCCACGGTTGGTCACCATGAGCTCAGCTCACTCAGATAAGCTGTATTTAGTAAATTTGGGCCTACATATGAGAGAATAGGTCTGTGTGGTAAGTGTGCACTATATAAAAAAAAAACCTGTAGCATGCAGTGCATAGTGAGAAAAAAATGCAACCGTATTTTTGGTGTAAAACAGCGACTTTGCAGTGTATTTTCATGTTTTTTTTTTTTTTTGGTCTCATTTGATAGAATGGAAAATATATTACAGAAATAGATATGATTTTGATTGGTTTCACAAAGCAAAGTACCTTGAAATTGAGCTGTAAGAAGAAGAAATGTTCAATTTTTGCCAATGATCAAGAGTAAACAAATGATGTCACTGTCCAATATGTGTCCAAATAGCTGGTCTAAGATGCAGTGGAAATGTAAACATATGCAGTATAATGTGATCACATTATACTGCATATGTGTTTTTATTTCCATTGTGTTAGTATTTTATACCATTTATTTCTAAGATGCAGTCATGAATGGGTTGACATTATATATGCAATTATTACAATAATGCAGTAATCTACATAAGAGTACGTAAATCTATTTTTTATGTGAATAAAAATTAAAAATGTAAAACAAGCATAATATAAGAGGGGCCTGGAGACATGACTTATGAACATAGAAAATGTTATTTTAGTGCCAGAAATGTCTGCATTGTTTATTATGGACCTTATTTTGAAACTGGCATCTCTTGAAATTTGTTCAAAATTGGCCAAATTACCAATTTCTGACCACTTTATTGGGTAGTTGAAATAGGTAAATGGGCAGTTTCTTATACTCAACAGAAGGAATACTAGTGAAATAACTATGAGTTTGATAGACTGGAACAATGGAATTTGCCAAAAATAGGGCGTAAAGTGGGTGAAATTGCCAATGCGTAAATATCGCTGTTGGGTTAAGTGTATTCTAACGTAACCACTCTATAATCCGGTAAAATCACTAATCCGGCACCATACAGGTCCCAATGGTGCTGAATCAGTCATGGTCACCCTGTACCTAGGAGATATAATATATATACACCTACCATCCGACTTACGACCTGCTCGACATACGACCACTCGACTTATGACCGTGTTTTTTATGCCAAATTTCTGGGAAATAAACAACTATTTGTGTTGTACACAGTGTTTATCCTAAACCTTACAGTATAAAATACAGTGCTAACAACATAAAAAGTAAAGTAAAACATGGAATACCATAATAAAACAATAAAATAAAGTCATTACAAAAATGTTTTGTTGATATTCAGTAGTAAAGTTCGACTTACGACCATTTCGACTTACGACCGGTTTCTCGGAACCGAACTCAGTCGTAAGTCGGATGGTAGGTGTATATATATTTTTTTTTTTCAACAAGTCGGCCGACTTGTGAAAAAAAAAAATATATATATATATATATATACGTATATATATATGTATATATATATATATATATATATATATATATATATATATATAATATATATATATATATATATATATATATATATATATATATATATATATATATTTTTTTTTTTTTTTTTTTTTCAACAAGTCGGTCGTCTCCCACCGAGGCAGGGTGACCCAAAAAAGAAAGAAAATCCCCAAAAAGAAAATACTTTCATCATCATTCAACACTTTCACCACACTCACACATTATCACTGCTTTTGCAGAGGAGCTCAGAATACAACAGTTTAGAAGCATATACGTATAAAGATACACAACATATCCCTCCAAACTGCCAATATCCCAATATATATATATATATATATATATATATATATATATATATATAATATATATATATATATATATATATATATAATATATATGTATGTATGTATATATATATAATATAAACTAAGGGAGGAGGAAGTTCGGGTGAGATATAAGTGACTATTGGCAGAAAGGTGGGCTAGTGCAAAGATGAGTAGTGGGGGGGTTGAAGAGGGTTGGAATAGTTTTAAAAATGCAGTATTAGAATGTGGGGCAGAAGTTTGTGGTTATAGGAGGGTGGGGGCAGGAGGAAAGAGGAGTGATTGGTGGAATGATGAAGGAAAGGGTGTGATAAAAGAGAAAAAGGTAGCTTATGAGAGGTTTTTACAAAGCAGAAGTGTTATAATAAGAGCAGAGTATATGGAGAGTAAAAGAAAGGTGAAGAGAGTGGTGAGAGAGTGCAAAAGGAGAGCAGATGATAGAGTGGGAGAGGCACTGTCAAGAAATTTTAATGAAAATAAGAAAAAATTTTGGAGTGAGTTAAACAAGTTAAGAAAGCCTAGGGAAAGTATGGTTTTATCAGTTAAAAACAGAGTAGGGGCGTTAGTAGATGGGGAGAGGGAGGTATTAGGTAGATGGCGAGAATATTTTGAGGAACTTTTAAATGTTGAGGAAGAAAGGGAGGCGGTAATTTCATGCACTGGCCAGGGAGGTATACCATCTTTTAGGAGTGAAGATGAGCAGGATGTAAGTGTGGGGGAGGTTTATTTTATTATTATCACACCGGCCGATTCCCACCAAGGCAGGGTGGCCCGAAAAAGAAAAACTTTCACCATCATTCACTCCATCACTGTCTTGCCAGAAGGGTGCTTTACACTACAGTTTTTAAACTGCAACATTAACACCCCTCCTTCAGAGTGCAGGCACTGTACTTCCCATCTCCAGGACTCAAGTCCGGCCTGCCGGTTTCCCTGAATCCCTTCATAAATGTTACTTTGCTCACACTCCAACAGCACGTCAAGAAATTAAAAACCATTTGTCTCCATTTACTCCTATCAAACACGCTCAAGCATGCCTGCTGGAAGTCCAAGCCCCTCGCACACAAAACCTCCTTTACCCCCTCCCTCCAACCCTTCCTAGGCCGACCCCTACCCCGCCTTCCTTCCACTACAGACTGATACACTCTTGAAGTCATTCTGTTTCGCTCCATTCTCTCTACATGTCCGAACCACCTCAACAACCCTTCCTCAGCCCTCTGGACAACAGTTTTGGTAATCCCGCACCTCCTCCTAACTTCCAAACTACGAATTCTCTGCATTATATTCACACCACACATTCCCCTCAGACATGACATCTCCACTGCCTCCAGCCTTCTCCTCGCTGCAACATTCATCACCCACGCTTCACACCCATATAAGAGCGTTGGTAAAACTATACTCTCATACATTCCCCTCTTTGCCTCCAAGGACAAAGTTCTTTGTCTCCACAGACTCCTAAGTGCACCACTCACTCTTTTTCCCTCATCAATTCTATGATTCACCTCATCTTTCATAGACCCATCCGCTGACACGTCCACTCCCAAATATCTGAATACGTTCACCTCCTCCATACTCTCTCCCTCCAATCTGATATTCAATCTTTCATCACCTAATCTTTTTGTTATCCTCATAACCTTACTCTTTCCTGTATTCACCTTTAATTTTCTTCTTTTGCACACCCTACCAAATTCATCCACCAATCTCTGCAACTTCTCTTCAGAATCTCCCAAGAGCACAGTGTCATCAGCAAAGAGCACTGTGACAACTCCCACTTTGTGTGTGATTCTTTATCTTTTAACTCCACGGGCCCCTTGCCAAGACCCTCGCATTTACTTCTCTTACAACCCCATCTATAAATATATTAAACAACCACGGTGACAATCACACATCCTTGTCTAAGGCCTACTTTTACTGGGGAAAAAATTTCCCTCTTTCCTACATACTCTAACTTGAGCCTCACTATCCTCGTAAAAACTCTTCACTGCTTTCAGTAACCTACCTCCTACACCATACACTTGCAACATCTGCCACATTGCCCCCCTATCCACCCTGTCATACGCCTTTTCCAAATCCATAAATGCCACAAAGACCTCTTTAGCCTTATCTAAATACTGTTCACTTATATGTTTCACTGTAAAAAACCTGGTCCACACACCCCCTACCTTCCTAAAGCCTCCTTGTTCATCTGCTATCCTATTCTCCGTCTTACTCTTAATTCTTTCAATTATAACTCTACCATACACTTTACCAGGTACACTCAACAGACTTATCCCCCTATAATTTTTGCACTCTCTTTTATCCCCTTTGCCTTTATACAAAGGAACTATGCATGCCCCTCTGCCAATCCCTAGGTACCTTACCCTCTTCCATACATTTATTAAACAATTGCACCAACCACTCCAAAACTATATCCCCACCTGCTTTTAACATTTCTATCTTTATCCCATCAATCCCGCTGCCTTACCCCCTTTCATTTTACCTACTGCCTCACGAACTTCCCCCACACTCACAACTGCTCTTCCTCACTCCTACAAGATGTTATTCCTCCTTGCCCTATACACGAAATCACAGCTTCCCTATCTTCATCAACATTTAACAAATCTTGATAATATGAACGGAGTGCATGTCACAGAGCTGGCCAGTTGTCATAAAAACCCCAATCAACCTCGCTTTAATGGTGGTCAGCTGCCTGCTCTGCTGCACTGTCAGCTGCTTCTGCTGCTTACACCGTTGTTGTTGATGCTTATAAAACTATAAATTAACACAAAAGGATTGCACAGGATACCCAAAAGTCATTGTCATCGAGCTGTCTAACTTATTTCCATTGGGGTCCTTAATCTTTCTCCAGTTGCACCATAAGTCACTACACCCTGGAACATGAAATGCTGGAACTAGTGTCATATTGGTAATTTATATGCAGAATTTTTTCTTAGAACTTTACAATCGTCATGGCAACACATCTTAAGGCCTGTTCTTGAAAGCCAAAAGACCTACAGACTCAGAGAAACACATTTACACAGCCACACAGTCTTCAGTCATTGCTGCATCTTCATAAAGGTAGTGTCATTAATACTTCATTAGTAGACTTACAGCTACACTATTCCTGTGCATGTACTTAACTCTACTTTGCTGATGCTTCTTTCTCTTTGTGTGGAAAATTTTTTATTATGTGCTAAAATTAAATGATTTCTACTTATCTGTGGCCTCTAGACGTTAATCTTAATTTTCCCTACTAATTCTTTAAATTATCACATACATATATCAACATAACTATCTACCCCTCTAACGGATTAAATTTACCCGTTTCCTAAAATTATATTATATAATAAACCTTATATACAAATTAATCAAAGGCTCCATATATAATTTAACATGCATCCAAATATATCATACAACCTACTTAAATTTTACTATTACATAACCTACAGGAGGAAGTTCGGGTGATATGCACTATTGGCGAGTAGGGCTGTGCAAGATAGTTAGGTTCGCTAAAAGGTTCATCGTTTTCAAAATCTCGTACTCATGTGGCATAATTTGTGGCTATCGCAGTCCAACGGCAGTACTTAATCCAGAGATTGATTGGATTTACACATCAATACATGTTTGCTCATAAGAAATTACTTAGATGGCTTTCCCTCCAGCAAAGTGTTAATCAAGTATTGGAGAGTAATAAATTTAACTGAAACTTCTAGCCCTGCAGCTTTGTTTGCTTAGAGGCCAGGACATCCAATATTTTAATAAATAATCAAAAAATCTTGGTTATTAATCATCCGCAACATCACGCACAATTTAGGCAATCCCATTTAAAAAAAGGTTTTTTTCTTCTCTTTTTTGGAAGTTGGTATACAGGAGAAGGGGTATTAGCCCATTTGCTCCCAGGCATTTTAGTCGCCTCATACGACACGCATGGCTTACGGAGGAAAGATCTTTTCCACTTCCCCATGGACAATAGAAGAAATAAAAAAGAACAAGAGCTATTTAGAAAAAAAGGAGAAAAACCTAGATGTATGTATATATATATATGCATGTGCGTGTCTGTGAAGTGTGACCAAAGTGTTAGTAGGAGTAGCAAGATATCCCTGTTATCTTAGCGTGTTTATGAGACAGAAAGGGGGAGGTACGTGAGGTATTATGTAGAATGAAAGGGGGTAAAGCAGCTGGAACTGATGGGATCATGACAGAAATGTTAAAAGCAGGGGGGATATAGTGTTGGAGTGGTTGGTACTTTTGTTTAATAAATGTATGAAAGAGGGGAAGGTACCTAGAGATTGGCAGAGAGCATGTATAGTCCCTTTATATAAAGGGAAGGGGGACAAAAGATATTGTAAAAATTATAGAGGAATAAGTTTAGTGAGTATACCAGGAAAAGTGTACGGTAGGGTTATAATTGAAAGAATTAGAGGTAAGACAGAATGTAGGATTGCGGATGAGCAAGGCGGTTTCAGAGTGGGTAGGGGATGTGATAAGATAAGATTTTGTTCAGATTTTTAACCCTGTAGGGTTAGCCACCCAGGATAACCCAAGAAAGTCAGTGCGTCATTGAGGAGTGTCTAACTTATTTTCATTGGGGTCCTTAATCTTGTCCCCCAGGATGCGACCCACACCAGTCGACTAACACCCAGGTACCTATTTGCTGCTAGGTGAACAGGACAACAGGTGTAAGGAAACGTGTCGAAATGTTTCCACCCGCTGGGAATCGAACCCAGGCCCTCCGTGTGTGAAGTGGGAGCTTTAGCCACCAGGCCACCGGGCCACCAGGCCCGGTGGCCTGGTGGATAGGGGAGCAATGTGGCAGATGTTGCAAGTATATGGAATAGGTGGTAAGTTACTAAATGCTGTAAAGAGTTTTTATGAGGATAGTGAGGCTCAGGTTAGGGTGTGTAGAAGAGAGGGAGACTACTTCCCGGTAAAAGTAGGTCTTAGACAGGGATGTGTAATGTCACCATGGTTGCTTAATATATTTATAGATGGGGTTATAAAAGAAGTAAATGCTAGGGTGTTCGGGAGAGGGGTGGGATTAAATTATGGGGAATCAAACTCAAAATGGGAATTGACACAGTTACCTTTTGCTGATGATACTGTGCTTATGGGAGATTCTAAAGAAAAATTGCAAAGGTTAGTGGATGAGTTTGGGAATGTGTGTAAAGGTAGAAAGTTGAAAGTGAACATAGAAAAGAGTAAGGTGATGAGGGTATCAAATGATTTAGATAAAGAAAAATTGGATATCAAATTGGGGAGGAGGAGTATGGAAGAAGTGAATGTTTTCAGATACTTGGGAGTTGACGTGTCAGCGGATGGATTTATGAAGGATGAGGTTAATCGTAGAATTGATGAGGGAAAAAAGGTGAGTGGTGCGTTGAGGTATATGTGGAGTGAAAAAACGTTATCTATGGAGGCAAAGAAGGGGAATGTATGAAAGTATAGTAGTACCAACACTCTTATATGGATGTGAAGCTTGGGTGGTAAATGCAGCAGCGAGGAGATGGTTGGAGGCAGTGGAGATGTCCTGTCTAAGTGCAATGTGTGGTGTAAATATTATGCAGAAAATTCGGAGTGTGGAAATTAGGAAAAGGTGTGGAGTTAATAAAAGTATTAGTCAGAGGGCAGAAGAGGGGTTGTTGAGGTGGTTTAGTCATTTAGAGAGAATGGATCAAAGTAGAATGACATGGAAAGCATATAAATCTATAGGGGAAGGAAGGCGGGGTAGGGGTCGTCCTCGAAAGGGTTGGAGGTTTTGTGGGCGAGGGGCTTGGACTTCCAGCAAGCGTGCGTGAGCGTGTTAGACAGGAGTGAATGGAGACGAATGGTACTTGGGACCTGACGATCTGTTGGAGTGTGAGCAGGGTAATATTTAGTGAAGGGATTCAGGGAAACCGGTTATTTTCATATAGTCGGACTTGAGTCCTGGAAATGGGAAGTACAATGCCTGCACTTTAAAGGAGGGGTTTGGGATATTGGCAGTTTGGAGGGATATGTTGTATATCTTGATACATATATGCTTCTAAACTGTTGTATTCTGAGCACCTCTGCAAAAACAGTGATAATGTGTGAGTGTGGTGAAAGTGTTGAATGATGATGAAAGTATTTTCTTTTTGGGGATTTTCTTTCTTTTTTGGGTCACCCTGCCTCGGTGGGAGAGGGCCTACTTATTGAAAAAAAAAATATAAATTGTAACTGAGCAATAAACAATGCAAGTAAACCACAGGGGAAAGAGAGAGAGAAAGAGACGTACTTGAGTTATGCTGTTTATTGTACATATAAGAGAATGTGGATAGAGAGAATTGCAGTATACACGTCCACACACTAGAGTCCCCAGGAACTGAACAAATCTGATCTAGCCCAGGCACCTGACACAACCTGGCAGTGATCAATCATACACAGCATCACTACTATAACAGCTATAATTGCGTACACATTCTTTATAGTTTCTAAGAGACGCATACCAAATCAAGGGGATGCCAATCAACATTACTGACATACAGTATATACATACATAACATAAACCACAGGGAGATGGGTTAGAAATAGTACTTGCTGGCAGGATATAAATAAATAAATCTCATCATAAAGTAGGAAAAATAAAATGTACATTTTTTTTTCCTAATTTACATTCAGAACCATTTGTTAACTACCAACAATAACTAAATGCCACTTTAAAGCACATTTATTAGAATAAGTATGAAAAAATTAGGGTAATGCAACATGGATTATCCAACATTAATTTTCAAAATGCCAATTTAGATAAGCGATTAAAAATAATTTCATGCTCACTGCTACATACTAAGAGAAAACCTAATAGTCTATACAAATTTAAACATCTGCATAAAAATTTATGTTCAAAATCCAGTATTTGGAGACAGGTTTGTTGACCCATTTCTAGAGAAATACTAAACCAAAAATCCAGTTAATGGCAGTAACTTCTAATAAATAAATATGTCGCCACTCAACGTTTTGCACTCAGTGGTGAAGTTGCATTGTTCCTAATATAACTGGTAATATAAATGGCATGCAATTCTGAAAAGTTGATGAATGCAGAAATTACAATATTGGCAATAAAAATATGCAGGAGCTGTAAATGTCTTATTCATCAACCTTTCAGTATTGTATACCATTAATGTATGATACTTGTCTGATACAACACTGGAATCTTGGTACAGAGGATATCTACTCAGCAATAAAAATGCCTAGTGTTGCACGTGTCTTATTCATCATAACAAGCAACAGCCCAAGATTGCGAACAGGTCAACTCTTCCTGTCTCCACCTAACCAGTAATTGTCAGGTGAGATGGATCCCGAGTGCAGTTTCAACTCGTACCACCACAGCTTGGCCTATTACTGCATCTACATGCATTGCAGGGAAGGAAATGTGGAGTGTTCTAAGTAATTATTCATGTGCTTCATCATAATTGAGGAGAAATGTAATTCTACTCTTTCTTCTTCATATTGACACCTGTGATAATGAAGCCACAAGCATAAAAAAAAAATATTAAGAGATAAGTACTGTATATAAAGTACAGTGTATAAGAAAATTTCATTGAGGGTGGAAGGAAGCAACAGATTGCTATGAATATGTTGCTCTTCTTTCTTTCAACAAATTGGCTGTTTCCCACCGAGGCAGGGTGGCCCAAAAAGAAAAACAAGTTTCTTTTTAACTTTAGTAATGTATACAGGAGAAGGGGTTACTAGCCCCTTGCTCCCGGAATTTTAGTCAACTCTTATGACATGCATGGCTTATGGAGGAAGAATTCTGTTCCACTTCCCCATGGAGATAAGAGGAAATAAGAACAAGAATTAGTAAGAAAATAGAAGAAAACCCAGAAGGGTGTGTATATATATATACTTTTACTGTACATGCATGAGTAGTGTGACCTAAGAGTAACGTTTCTTCAATAAAGATTCCCATGTGTTGCATAAGTGTCTCAATTCTTCAACTTGTCGGTTTTCTAAACCATTCATCACAATACAGTACCGTACTGAAAAAAGTTATAGTACATATTACCGAAAACTGAAAGGTGAAAAAAATATTTTATATGTAGTGTGCAATTGAAGCTACAAAGAATCAGATTACTATATGAAATTTGTCAACAAAATTTGTAAGCATGATGACAAGATTTTTCATGGATTAGCACATTTAAAGAGGCACCTCGATGGAGAGAATGCAAGAGCATAAATACAGTACTGCAATAGACTTAGTATTTACTGCAAAAGTAAAAGACATCCACATTATAAATTATGTAAACCCACATTGTAAAAGTTTTCATGAACTATATCATTAAGAGAATTTATGTTGCAAAGTATAACTTTGATGAGGAAAATGAAACAAAATATTAATAAAACTTGAAAAAATCAAGGGAAATGAAACAAAAGACCAACAGTATAAAAAAAATTAAGTCTACTGGTGTAGACTTAATTCAACAATACTTAATATAAGAGTACAGTAATACAAAGAGTTCTGCAACATAACTTATAAGGAAAATATATTAAAAATAATCAATCCAAAACACAAAACTAAAAAGAATGATTCAACAATAAGTGTTTGAAAGCTGTGAAAAAGAAAGAAAAGACTCAGGATTAACAGAAAATTTCCTAACCAAAAATCTTACCATAGATTCAAACAAGACAAAAGTATGTACAATATCAATGTAAGGAGAAAAAAATAAAACTGAAGGAATGTACAGGAAAAATTACCATAAGCTCACTGATTATCTACTCTGGATCATTTTGACGACTGTTACAAATAAGGTAAACTTGCAAAAAGTGAAAAACAGCAAACACTGTAGCAATATTAAAAAAAAAAAGGCGATAGGAATAACCCATTAAAGGTACCATACATTACTGTATTACTAACAAGTGTTGTAAAAACACGGAAAACGTCATTTAGAGAAAAGTACGTTGAGCAAAAACATGCTAACTGTAAATAGTTATTTCATATCAGCAGAATCCTATACAGTATTTCTATGATAATTGTCCCAAGAGTTACACATGACTTTTATAGATGGGCACACTGCATTTTTTTTTTTATTTTGAAAAGACATGATAATTCTCCATGAAAGACTGATTTGAAAACTTACAAAATTAATATAAACGGAATGAAAGGCTAAATAAACCAATACATACATGGTACTTTTTGGTTTTAATATCAAATGCAAATGATGAGGAAAATGTTACTGAGATACTGTACTATATACTGGGGGTACACGAAGATCAATACCTGCCAAGACAATGTTCTTAATTTCTGTAAATGACTTGCCAGGATTCTCCTGGCAAGTTATTTACATGAAAAGGTTTGCAGATATTGCAAAACTATTATGAAACCTAAAAAATCAACATGATTAAAAAGCCCTAAAAGAACATTTATATTAATGGACTAATATGGGAGGGAAGGTAGCATTGATGATTTCTGTGATTATAACAATAACAGACAGCTGGATACAGATCAAGTGACACAGCTAATTTTGTCCTATATTGCTGAAGTCTACTAAATCGAAGGTATAGTGTAATCTAATATGAATTACAAAAACAAGATAGGATATGACTACCATATAAAAGATCATAAATGGATATGAGAAAAAAGATAAGGAAGAGTTGTAAGCACTGTTAACAAGGAGAACAAGAGGACAATTATTAAAAAAATATGTTGCAGAAGTTACATTAGAAAATATTTCTTCACAGACTACACATGTAGATGGCAAACTAAATACTGAAGATGGGACACCACAACACTAGCATAACTCAACTCTTGCAACTACAAATAAATATACTACAATATAATAAATATTTTTTGTATGTACTCAGCTTTGTCTAAAACAGTTGGACCCTCGATGCAAAACTGCATTGTGAGAAAATTTCTTCTAACATATTATTTATGACTGATTAACAATGAAGAAATATACTTCTCATACTGAGAAAACACAAGAATGAATGTTGAAGGTAGCAGATAATGTGATAGTGTAACTGTAGTGCTTTGTGAAGTTTTAGGTAGCATTTTATTATTATTAATATATCAGCCGTTTCCCACCAAGGCAGGGTGGCCCGAAAAAGAAAAACTCAACATTATTCACTCCATCACTGTCTTGCCAGAGGCATGCTTACACTACAGTTATAAAACTGCAACATTAACACCACTCCTTCAGAGTGCAGATACAGTACTTCCCATCTCCAGGACTCAAGTCCGGCCTGCCGATTTCCCTGAATCCCTTCATAAATGCTACCTTGCTCACACTCCAACAGCACGTCAAGTGCTAAAAAACCACTGGTCTCCATTTACTCCTATCAAATATGCTCATGCATGCTTGCTGGAAGTCCAAGCCCCTCACACACAAAACCTCCTTTACCCCTTCCCTCCAACTTTTCCTAGGCCAACCCCTACCCCCTCTTCCCTCCACTACAGATTTATACACTTGAAGTCATTCTATTTTGTTCCATACTCTCTACATGTCCAAACCACCTCAACAACCCCTCCTCAGCCCTCTGGATAATAGTTTTGGTAATCCTGCACCTCCTTCTAATTTCCAAACAACGAATTCTCTGCATTATATTTATACCACACAAAACAACAACACTTAAAAAAATAAAGCATTATTAAAAACTAAACATTTTACATGTTTTAACATCATAAACTAGGAACAATGGTTTGCTTATGAGCCTCCAATATGGCAGGAATAAACTGAAGACTAGAAAAATAACTAGTAACTTAAAAGCTTATTTCAATATACTGTGGGAGGCAATAACTGGGTAATTAGTGTAAGGTATGTGACTGACTCTTCTCAAGTAGCACAGTTACCAGTTATTTATCTGGAGAGGTTTGAACATACAATTCTCACTCAGGTAATAAATAAACAGAATAAACATTATCGTATTCCAGAATATCACACATTCAGATTATACAGTCAGTTTATAGCACAATACAACTCTGAATGTAAGAAATTTACAATGATTCAGTAACACATGCCTCAATCCCCAGTAAAAAAAAAAAAACTGTCATGTACTAAATGATGTTTTAACATAGTATAAAGCCATGATCCATGACTACAAAATTCATACCTAGTCCAGAAACACATCCATCTTCATCCTCATCAAAGGGGCAATATAACAATAGACTAATATTGATGCCATGGATGATCACTTGAATGTACAGTAAAGGAACAATATTTATTTTCCACTTTACTTTGCTGTTAAATAAAAGCTGCTTGTAAATATTGATAGAACACAACTTCACTTTGCTTATTCATAAAATTTAAATTTATAATATATGAGCCTCAAACACAGTGAACCTAACAATGAAGAGAATATGGTTGTTCAGGTCTATAATTACTGATATTAGACAGGCACATTAAAACTGAGCCAGCAACACTCAAAGTTTCTAACTCTTAAGTTTACCAAAAAAGTAAATTTTGTAAGACTGCCAATGCTAACTCTATTTCAAGTTAACCTTTGAATATACAGTGGACCCCCGGTTTATGATATTATTTCATTCCAGAAGTATGTTCAGGTGCCAGTACTGACCGAATTTGCTCCCATAAGGAATATTGTGAATTAGATTAGTCCATTTCAGACCCCCAAACATACACATACAAATGCACTTACATAAATACACTTACATAGTTGGTCGCATTGGGAGCTGATCGTAAACCGGGGTCCACTGTATAATACTGGGTTATTAACCCAGGGTAGCCCAATAAAGTCAAGTACTGTAGTATGGCTTACAGCATTTCCATTTTGGTCCTTTCCTAGGATGCAATGAAATATCTCTCAGGTACAGTACCTCTTTACTGCTAAGTGAATAAATAGGCTTCAAATGTTAAATGACTTGCCAAATATTTTGGGTCCTTTTGGGTGTGAGCTGAGTGCTCTACCACTGAGCAATAGGAAACCAAACTACATGTTATTCTTCACTGAGAGCCCTGAATCTGCACTCTCTAGAAAGACGTAGAATTAGGGGGATATGATTGAAGTGCATAAATGGAAAACATGAATAAATAAAGGGGATGTAAATAGCGTGCTGAAAATATCCGGCCAAGACAGGACTCGCAGCAATGGTTTCAAGTTGGAAAAGTTCAGAGTCAGGAAGGACATAGGAAAGCACTGGTTTGGTAATAGAGTTGTGGATGAGTGGAACACACTCCTGAGTACCGTCATAGAAGCTAAGACCTTGTGTAGTTTTAAAAATTGGTTGGATAAATACATGAGTGGGTGTGGGTGGGTGTGAGTTGGACCTGACTAGCTTGTGCTACCAGGTCTGGTGCCGTGCTCCTTCCTTAAGTGGAAGTGACCTGACTAGGTGGTCAATGTTCTAGGCCGGGGGTGGCATGGACCTGCTTCGCATGGGTCAGTAAGCCTGTTGCAGTGTTCCTTCTTTCTTATGTTCTTAATTCAATCAATGTTAAGACACAGTAAGAGACTTCATAATGATGTATTTAATGTTGCTCATATAGTGGTAATATGCCTGTCTCACTTTGCTATAGTTTATGAATACATACATAAGCAAAATGCTTGGTAAGCTCACATTTCCTAGCAATAGTACTGTTTTCTATGTAAAAAGCTCTAGATGCTGCTGATGAGTACTACTCTATATACAATTAGGATTTCTTTTAACAAGAAATATTTTTAATTGCTACATGGTGTCTGCTGCTGGGGAAAAGGGTTAGGATGAGGGACATCTGTGTCCTCCCCTCCTCTGTATGGAACATTTCTGTACCAAGAAAATACAACCTTACTGAGTTTCCAAGCAATCTTGTTTACCCTCTGGCTATTCTTTGGGATAGTCTGTGGACACCCATGTCATTACACTATGTTAAATAAGCTACATATAATATTTTATTAATTTGAGTTGTCATGATTTTCTACAGTATACGTATAATTTTTTTTTATTCAGCACAGTGTTTTTGAGTCTCTTTAATTTACTTTTCATTGACTTCTTATAAAATTTGCAACTTGCATAACAAACAAAGATTGCTGCACATAATGCACAAACCATACTATACAGTACAGTACAGTATACTGATTATACAAAAGTGTTAATATTTTTCATGTAGTAAGATCTTTAATAAAATTATGCCACATCTGAGATGTAGAACATGCAGGTGAATACAATATACAGTATTGACTTTGAAATGTTGTTCCAACCTTCAGTCTCCAAGTGCAACTCCTGCAGTGGGTTTGGAATTCTCTTCTTTGACCTTATCTTGTTTGCGAAACTTAAACAAGAAATGAGACGTTTTCTCGTAAACAACAAAAGTCAAGGCTGTTGCAGGAACGACTCTCAACAGATTTGGGGAAAGACCTTTATAATAGCCCAAGGCGCCATGTTGCCTGAAAAATAATAATTATGTTAATGACATATATGTATATAATTGTGTTATCATTCTGCGATGTATATTGTCACAGAAGGTAAGTAAATGCCTTTTTCATTATTGTATGCAATGATATAAGAAGTAAATTGGCAAGGAAAGTATGCAACAGAAGTATATACAGTAGTAGCAATATATAACCTATAAAATCTATGGAGTAAACTTTCTTCTTTCAACACACCGGCCGTATCCCACCGAGGCGGGGTGGCCCAAAAGGAAAAACGAAAGTTTCTCCTTTTACATTTAGTAATATATACAGGAGAAGAGGTTACTAGCTCCTTGCTCCCGGCATTTTAGTCGCCTCTTACAACACGCATGGCTTACGGAGGAAGAATTCTGTTCCACTTCCCCATGGAGGTAAGAAGAAATAAACAAGAACAAGAACTAGAAAGAAAATAGAAGAAAACCCAAAGGGGTGTGTATATATATGCTTGAACATGTATGTGTAGTGTGACCTAAGTGTAAGTACAAGTAGCAAGACATACCTGAAATCTTGCATGTGTATGAGACAGATAAAAAAAAGACACCAGCAATCTTACCATCGTGTAAAACAATTACAGGCTTCAGTTTTACACTCACTTGGCAGGACGGTAGTACCTCCCTGGGTGGTTGCTGTCTACCAACCTACTACCTATATGGAGTAAACATATGCATAAAATATAAACTAATGACTTACAAACTTACATCACTTTTTTGTGTAAACTACTATATTTACAAAAAAATTTTTGTAAGTGGCATCAAAAGTGTTACATGATATTTGTATATATTTATAGTATAATAAAAAATACTGTACCATCATTATATTATTACTGTATTATATTTATGGAAAGTGCTACAGATCATACAACACCTGGGGAATGGGAAGCAATAAGATTGATCTATGGAAGGGAAGGACAGGTTCAGTTCCTTATATCAAAAGTCCCTTACCAAGAGTATAACCAAAACTAATGAAGACTAAAGACCCAGCACCACTGCACCATGTTACAAGTTTTCTTCAGCTGAGAACTGATACTGGCTCCAGATCTTTCGTATTAGTAATTTTACTATCATATATCTCTGTATATGATGAAGTCTGCAGCACAGGTGAAGCATTTTGTCAATATTCTTAGTGTTATTGCATGTCTCATCAACTCGCCAGTAGTACTTAATACCATTTACATGTAACGATACATGAAAGACACTGCGACATTATTGAATCTTGGTACAAGGGGCATTTCATCAATTCTTTTGCTGACAACTATTTAGCATGGCCTGCCTCTGGCCAACTGCTTCTGCTTTAGGCTAACAGACAGATCATCTTGTACCTAGGGTGATAAACTGATTACATCACACTACATCTCTATTTCGTCTACCACCAGTGCTGATGTATCCAGGAGTGTGATTCATCTTTGTATTCGACTGATGATGTAGTGCAGACAGAATGTTTTGTCAATTAAGATTCCTAGTGTTGTACACATGCTTGAACTCCAGCATGACCAGGGATCTAGGATAAGAGAACTTTTATGTGTCTGCTGAAAATGCAACAGTGCCAGAGTTGAATGTGAAGCATGAAAGAATATGAGGGATCAACAGTCTCACCCCACTGCTTTACTGTTTGTGAGTCAAAGACCACAAATGATGAGATAGGCATATAGTAATTCATATACGTATAAGTGCCAAGTGTGAGCAACCTGTATGAATATACTAATTGACTCCAGCAGTTGTCTTTGGGTCATAACATTAGAAAATTTCCCCCCATAAGTGTACATATTATGACTAAATATTTACAAGGAAGAGCCCGAGTCCATAGCAAAAACAAAAGACTTCTGGAAAGGAAGGAGAGAGGGAAGGCATGGACCAGTGGGATTCAACAAGGTAAGAAAGAAGTAAATGAGATAAGAATTATATATATTATGGGGAAGTGCTAAATCCATAGGAGTCATACAGCACCAGGGAAATAGGAGGCATTCAGATTCAATCCAAGAGGACAGCAGGTCCAATTCCTTACCTCAAGAGCTCCTTACTAGTTAAGAAATGAGAGGAAAAAAAAAAAAAGACTGAGTCTTAACCCATAAACGGTCCAAACGTATATATACGATTTTTCAACATTTGAAAGTATGTAAAAAAAATAGATCTTCTTTTTATTTTTCTACATTTGAAAATATGTAAAAAAAACTTAGATCTACTTTTGTAGCACTACACATGTGAACGTAGATCTGCTTGGACCGTTTATGGGTTAAAGCAAACTGAAGAGATCTAATAAAAGTGATAACTGAGGTTATGAGGCTAAGAAAGCAGGAGGAAAGTAATCAGGGTGGGCACAAGGACTGAATGAAATCAGAGTCTGTGTTTACATTATTATTATTATAATCAAAATCTAAGTGCTAAACTCACTAGGGTCCTGTGTATTTACAGTACAGTGCCTGTACCTATTTGTAGCTACAGCAGCAGCAGAGCTTATGGTGTTGTAGCATCATTATTTTTATTATAATCAAAAAGAAGTGCTAAACCTACAAGTGCAGGGGTAGAGGGTAGCAAGAGGGAGAGGTAGAAAGGGCTGTGAGGAGTGCTAGAGGCATCATCATCAAAGTTTGTGCATTAAGTCAATTGCTGTCCGTTCTGGTATCAGTATCTAGTTTATCCAGGTTTTTAAAAAAAAATTCTATAGGGAAGCTAAACCTACAGGGGTTATACAGTGCATGTGTAGCACTACTTATTCATCTCTTGTAAATCATTCCATTACTATAAAACTGCTTAACACTTTCTAGTATCCCTTCAGCACCTAGTCTCTACTTAATGGTACTCAAAAATATTTTTTTCTCTTAAAATGTTGTACAGTACAAAATGTGGCTGTCTCTTCTTATCAGTCAAAAATTGCATTATTAACCCTTTCAGGGTTTCGGCCGTACTAGTACGGCTTACGCCCCAGAGTTTTTGACGTACTAGTATGCCTAAATTCTAGCGCCCTCAAATCTAGTGAGAGAAAGCTGGTAGGCCTACATATGAAAGAATGGGTCTATGTAGTCAGTGTGCACAGTATAAAAAAAAATACTGCAGCACACAGTGCGTAATGAGAAAAAAAAAATTGACCATGTTTTTGGATTAAAACAGCGACTTTGCACTGTACGTATTTTCGTATGGTATTTATTGTTGTATTCTAGTTTTCCTGGTCTCATTTTATAGAATGGAAGACATATTACAGAAATTGAGATGATTTTGACTGGTTTTACAAAGAACAGTACCTTGAAATTGAGCTCAAAGTAGTAGAAATGTTCGATTTTTACCAAAGTTCAAAAGTAAACAAATCATGCTATGCGTCAAATACACGTCAACTGGCGAGTCTAATATTCTTTCACAAGTGCGCTGATATTATTTATACCATTTCTACACCAATGCAGTAGTATGCATGACAATAAATCTACTATTTTTTTGTGATAATAAAAATTCAAAGTGGAAAGCAAAAGAATGTAAGAGGGGCATGGGGACATGACTAATGAACAGAGGAAATGTTATTTTAGTGCCAGGAATGCCTTTCTTGTTTATTCTGGACCCTATTCGGAAATTGGCATCTTTTGAAATGTGTGAAATTGGCAAAATTGCTAAATTCTGACCACTGTATTGGATAGTTGAAATCGGTAAATGGGTGGTTTCTTGTACTCATTCGATAGAAAAAATGGAGTTCTAGCGAAATAGTTATGATTTTTGTCGACAAGTATACTGGAATTGGCCGAAAATAGGGCTCAAAGTGGGCAAAATCGCCGATGAGTAAACATCGTCGAGACTTAGATGAATGGTTCACAGAACCGACACGTTGATAAATTAGACACATGTGCAACTCTTGGGTATCTTTATTAAGGAAACGTTTCGCCACACAGTGGCTTCATCAGTCCATACACAGGAGAAACTTGAAGAACAGGAGGAGAATGAGGTACTGAGGGACTATTACCTCAGTCTCCTCATGTTCTTCAAGTTTCTCCTGTGTATGGACTGATGAAGCCACTGTGTGGCGAAACGTTTCCTTAATAAAGATACCCAAGAGTTGCACGTGTCTGATTTATCATCGTCGAGACTGCTAACTTTGTGAGAGCATAATTCCATAAGTTTTCCATCAAATTTCGTACTTCTGGTGTCATTATGACCGGGAAAAGATTCTCTCATCTTTTCATAAGTTTTTTTTTTTTTTTTTTTTTTGAAATTTGGCCAACCCTGAAAACAGGTCTCTGAGAGGGCCTGTCGACCCTGAAAGGGTTAATATATTGATTGACACTATTACATTTGTGGTAAAGGGGGAATTGTAAAGCAATCAAACTCAAAGGAAAGGTCAGGTCTAATTCCTTGAAACCTCTTATCAGCATCTCTTGAGAAGTACTGTATTCACAAGTGAGCTAAACCTGAATGGGTTTGTACAGCACCAACAAAGATGGCATGTCCAGTTCTTTGACTTCGTCTTCACAACTCAACTTTAGGCTCTTGATTGCTACTTTTTAGCCATTATTGTTAGATTTATAGGGAAACACTTAACCTGTCGAGATCGTATAGCACCTTGGCAATGAGAGGCAACCTAAGGGAAGGACAGGTTCAATTCCTTGGATCAGGAGACCCTTATCAGAATCAGAGCACTCTCCTTTAAGGGATTTTGTAGCTTACTTCGCTCCAACTCATGTAAAGTATGATGTATATCACATTTATGGTATAGCAGCCAAAGTGTGGTTAAAAATTCAGAGAATCTGTGCCAAATAGAAAAGCACAGAAGGAAATGTTAAACTGTCATCAGAACCTAGCAAGTCCTGCAGAGGCACTACATGCCCCTCTTTGAGACAACCATACATGAGCCTGGTGTTAACAATATGGAGGTTGAAACTTAAAAGGCTATAGAAACATACATATTAGTGAATATTATGTATACATATTATTATAATCAAAAAGAAGTGCTAAACCTACAAGGGTCATACAGCATAGCAGGGCAGGGGATAGTATGGGATC